TTCCCCTTTTTCCTTTCTTTTCAGTCATATATTTAATGGTCTAATGAATGATGTTTCGGGTTAGCGTGTAATGACAACGGAAGAAAAAGAAGAAAATTCAACACTAATGAGTCTGATCAATGCAACAACAGGTAGTTGTTACGATGATATGTTGCCAACTCATTGTTTAGCTTATCTACATTTTTTTAAGCCGCAGCTGCACAGCAGGACCTTAACGTGTTAATGAATAATGAGGACTAAGAAGAGTTAACAAGCCAGTAAAAATACTGTCATTTTTAACTAGACATATTAATGAAATAGAATATGACTGATACTAACCTGAAAATTAAAGACAAAAAATAGTATAACATTGTTTTAAAGGAGAGGTTATACTTGTAACCTCTTTTTCCTTACAATTTCTTACCACCATTTGTATAGTTGTTGGATCAAAATAAAATAAAAATACATATCTCAATTTTAAAACTAAAATTCTACACAAAAAATAAATCTAAGTTAAACTTATGTTTTATGAAATCAATAAGATATTCTACCTATTTTTTTATGCTTATCTTAACTATTCATCTTCGATATCGTTAGATCAAAATTTTAACTAGCTTTTATCATTTCTCTCCCCTCTTGCTATCATAATCCAATAGCTTTGTAGATGAGAAAATAGAATAGATATGAATCCTATCCTTATATCACTTCCCCAAATTAGAAAATTTGGGTTCCGCTTAAATTCAAATCTTTTTACATTTTTCCATCCAAATCCTCGTACTTTACTATAAAAAGATGCATAGCACCAAAGATTTGTTTAGATGGCCACCGCGTAAAGTGGACAAACGATAAGTGCATGATTAAAATGATTTAAGGCCTGAAATAATAGGAAACCTTATCTCTCTTTTTACACATGATCCTTAATTGTAAATTATCCTTTTTGACATTAGTTGTGAGTTTCATTATTAAAGGCAAACAAACAGATAGACTCAAGGAGTATTGATTCATAAAGATTCCTTCATCAATTGTGGTCCCCTTGCAATTAAATTCAAATTAGTTTATACTACCATTTAATATTATCATCTCATATATAGTATAAACTCGTTTTTTCATTTGTCATTGAATTGGTAATTTAGAGACAAATATTTGTTTTAAAGCTATAATTTAAGTTAGAGATTTAATAATTGCATCTTGGAAATTCAATCTTCTTGTGCGTTATTATAAGTTCATTATACTTTATGTTATGAATTCTTAAAAGATAAAATTATAAATATATAATTATACAATGTCTATGTATGTCAAAACAAAATCATCCATCATTTAATTTTTTATTTTTAGTACATATCCATCATTTAATTTGAATACGAACAAAGGTCATCTTTGCATTACTTTAGTTTGTGAAATTTTAAGAGTCATCTCAAAAAAAATAAAAAATAATAATGATATGTAAAGTCTCTCTAAAAAGAGAAAAGTTCATAAATGTCTCTGTGACTTACTCTAGAATTATTTATGTTCCTGTGAGTTTTTTATCACATATGCCCCTGTAATTTACAAAATGGTACGCCTTTTATCATGGCTTTTTTACTCTTATAACCCTTTATTATTAATTAATTACCGATTTGACCTTGATTATAAACTATTTCAAAAATTTAACCCCCTCAAAAAACATAACACCAATCTGCCCCTGTTTGACCGTTGACCACCAAGTCTACCCGGGTACACCCCTCTGTACCCGGGTATTTTTTGAAAAATTTTGTCTACCCGGGTAGGGAGGAGTGTACCCGGGTATTGTTCTTCGCACCTGAAAAATTACTTGAATTTTTTACCCGGGTAGAGAGGGGTGTACCCGGGTAAATCTTCGACCACCCGAGTATGATTACTCTTTGGATCTCCCATCCACTCTTCTTCTCCAAGCTTTGAATATGGAGGCACCCACTATCACGTGCTCCGCCTCTGCAACTTTTTTGGGTCTGTAAAGCACAAATATTTTTCAATGATTATTTCAGAAAGGGAATTATCAGTTAACACTATAAATCCACAACCACAAACCTTGTCCCATGCATGTCTTCCCTGAACGTGATAATTCATCATTTACCAGTAAAATGAAAAGCTGCATGCTCACACTAAATTTCTGTACCATGAACCATGTCTTTATTTTCTTTCCGTCTCACTCTCCCCAATAGACCCGGTACCACATTTATATATAGGAGCGCGATTTTGACGTACATAAAAGTAGACCCCATCATAATCGATACGAACAGGGACCGCTTTGATGAGCAGTAAAGTGTTGATGTATGGAAATTCCAAATCCATTCTCAAAGCTAAAAGCTCTTCAAATTGGTTAGGCATGCTTAACTTGATAATACTGATCTATCTCATTAGCTATAAAAAAGAGAGAGAGAAAAAATTACCATGAAACAATTAATTACACATCCGCAAATATAATTAACTTGTGGTAAAATCAAATAAATCATATCTGTTCTTATATCCATCAGCTACAAGTTGCCCAAGTTATAGCAAGTACCAAATGGGTTGTCGAAGATTTACCCGGGTACACCCCTCTCTACCCGGGTAAAAAATTCAAGTAATTTTTCAGGTGCGAAGAACAATACCCGGGTACACTCCTCCCTACCCGGGTAGACAAAAATTTTCAAAAAATACCCGGGTACAGAGGGGTGTACCCGGGTAGGCTTGGTGGTCAACGGTCAAACAGGGGCAGATTGGTGTTATGTTTTGTGAGGAGGTTAAATTTTTGAAATAGTTTATAATCAAGGTCAAATCGGTAATTAATTAATAATAAAGGGTTATAAGGGTCAAAAAGCCCTTTTATCATATATCTCCCTGTGATTTTTTACTTTTTACAAATTACAGGAGCATATATGATAAATAAAAAATCACAGAAATATAAGTAATTCTGAAGTAAATCACAAAGACATTAGTGAACTTTTCCCTTCTAAAAAACGACCTCTACCAAAAAAAAAAAAAAAACTTAAGGGGAGGGTGAGCGTAAGCATGTACTATGTTGCCCTCCATAATATTAGTGTTATTTTATTATTTACGAGTTAACAAAGCCCTCCAAAAGGAAGTAGGTAAATATTATCTTTCTTTTTCTCAATCCAACAGCATTAAGTAGAATTCAATCCATAGGCTCCCCAAAATTTTTATTATAAAATTCATTTTTACATTTTATAAATAATAATATTCTTGTAGGTTATTGGTTATTGCTGACACATTAGTTATATTTTAATCGGCAATGGTCTTTCTTATAATTCTCATTAAATATTCATTTTATTTTATAATATTTTTTAATCTAATCATGTAAAAATAATGAGAAATATTTTTCTCATGTTGCATGAGAGAAAGTTGTCTCATGCAACACATAAAAAAGTAAATTAGATCCACTAAAAAAAAGAGAAAAGAAAAAAATGGATCCTACCCACTTTTTTAAGTGTTGTATAAAACAACTTATTTTATGCAACATGAGAAAAACATATCCCAAAAATAATAATCTTAATGGTGTATTTGGTACAAGAGAAATTTTTTTATGTCCGAGAATCATGATTTCCAGTAATATAGAAAGAAATCCAATTTACCGAGAATGATATAAAAAGTTGTTTGGTAGACGTAAATATTACAGAAAATATTTAATAATTTTATTGAGTATATGTTTGGTTGTTAGTAAAATATTACCGGTAATATATTATGATTTTACAAAACTAACCTTGACTTTTCAAAACATATTCTTCAACGGGTATTGATGTGTGTTGGGGGTATTATTGTCTAAAAAATATGTTGATCTGCTTTCCTTTCCTCCATTAATCATGAAAATCACCTAATTTTTGGTAATTCCAAGAGTAACTTTTCTTTGTAAAATGCTTTACCAGTAAACCTTCGATATTCGAAAATTGATTTTTAATACTTTTACCAAACATGATAATTGACGATTATCAAAGAAGGTTTACCAGTAATCCTTGTGATACTCTTGTACCAAACACATCCTGGGCCGTTTGGTACGCGTGATTCTTGGAGATTCTTGAAAAACTAAATTTTTATAAATTTTTAATTTTTAGATATTATTGTAAACTGAATGTAAAAATTATATTTCTGAAAATTAGGATTTTTGGACAAAAAAAAATTTCTCCTCTGCTAAACACTAAAAGAAAACATCGAGCATTTGTAGAAATTGGTACAATAGGGGGGGGAATCCAAGAATCATACAGTACCTCCTCAACTCAACCAATGCAAAATAATGGTAAGGGATATTATTAAAAAATCAACTGTCCAGTCAAAAGTTTAACTATACTATATTATAACTTTGTATTTCTCGAATTATTTCTTAAAAATAAATGTTTACTTTGACCATCTCAACAAAACGCTTCTAACTTCACCTTGTCTTTGTAGTTTTCGTACAATTTTCTCTCTATTTTTTTTCTTCATTCTTTTCAATAAATAGTATTATATTATATAAAGGGATTATTTCTCTAATGAAAGATAAACTCTTTTATGTTGAAAAACAAATAAAGTAGGATTCATTGATTTTTTAAAAATAAAAATAAAAATAAAAAGAAAGCACATGTTTTCTATGTAAAAACAACATGAAAAAGTACTCTTAATTATATAACATGAGAATATAATTTTTCATTATATAATCTTTACAAATTATTACGTTTGAGTTAAAATTACGCAAATTTTTTTGAAATAGTAATGAAGAAATAAAAAAGTAAAAGAAAAACATTATGTTAAAAGTTGAAGATAAATAATGGGTGTGTGGAGCCTAGGAAACAAACAAAAGGCCGGCAAGGAGGGGACACAGGCCAATCTGGTTGTCCACTACCCGCACCACAATCATTCTTTTTATAACGTCATCCATGACGTCATTCTCCCGACCAGCCTCCGAAGATCCAACAATAGAAAGCCCCTACACGTGGCAACATCTTCACCGTACGTGTATTTCCTCCACACCACTGCATCCATATATCACCAAAGCCATTGTCCAAACTTAGAACTCTTTCCACTCTCAATTTCTGAATTTCGCTTTCACCGAAAAAACTTCACTTTCCTGAACATAAAGATATCAGTGGTCTGTTTGTTTCTGACTCGTAAGGTTGATGGATGCAGAGGGAGACAAATACAATATGATAAATTTTGAAGAAACCGAGTTGCGACTCGGCCTCCCTGGCGAGTCACAACTCAAGAGCAGTGGTGGAAAGAGAGGTTTCTCAGAGACAGATACTGTGGATTTGAAGCTTAATCTTTCTTCCAATAACGACTTGGGTTCTGCCTCAGTTTCACCCTCATCTGTGGCTGCAGACAAGGTTAAAGAGAAAACTTCTGCTGCTACTACTACTGCAGATCCTCCTCCTCGCTCTAATGACCCAGCAAAACCACCTGCGAAGTGAGTTCTTCTTCTACTTACGTCTTACTTGGATGTTAATTCTATACATTTTTTTGGTACATAATATAATTCTATTCATTTATTGCTAAAGAAAACTCTTTTTTTTTTTTTTAATATGAGTTTTAGTTTAAGGAAAAACTAGAGGAAATTATTTTGTGCTTTGATGTGGCTGTTGGAATTTTCTTTTCTGTCATCTGCTATGTTCATCGATCTGGAGGGTATGATGTATATAATCTAGATTTTGTCTGAGACAGAGAAGGGTAATAGAACATATTAAAAAGTTTGGCTCTTTTCATTATTTTTGAAAGGACAAAAGATTATCAGATTTTGTTCAGTGTAGCAAATATCTAATGAAAAAGAGGTGGTCACTGGTCATCTTTACCTTGTTTTGAGAGTAAATAGATTTGAAGTAAAAAAAAAAACCATAGATCCATAGAACTTTCAATTGAAAAAGATAATAGAAAATTGCAGTTACAAGTTACTTAGAACTTAGAAGTTTGTTGCTGGTTGAAGGTCGGAGTGGGTAGTTATATTTCTTTTTCCATAATTTTTGGCTGAATTCGCTCTCCCAACTTGATATTTTGATTACGTATTTTAAACATTTTTTTTAATTTGATTGAAAGAAAATAAATATGTAAAAAATTGATTGTAAAAGAATCGGATTAGAAATTGTGTTTTTTCTTTTTGTAATTATTAAGTGTGATTACTTTTGAACAATATTTTTGAAAAAGTTGTTTGTAATAATTTTGTAGTGTTATTTGTAAGAGTTTGATTTTGTCTCAAAGGGATTTTAGAAGTTATGCTAACATTATTTGCTGGTGTTAGAGTGCAATAAATTAAAAAAATAATATTAAATTTGATTTCTACTATAAAAAATTATGTTGAGGATTGTAATGAATTATAAATAGTATTAGACATATTTTAAAATACTAGTCATTATCAATTGCGAACGCATATCTAATAAATAGATGTTGATTTTTTTTTTTTAAAAAAAAAAAAAAATCCTTTTGACCGGGTTAAGTAATTAAAAAGTAAAAAGATGGAGTGGGTATTTAGTTAGGTGTTAGTGATCCGGGTTTTGAGGGGGAAATGTCATTTAGAAAAATTCCGATTTAATATAGAATTTGCCAATTTGGTTTATAAAATTTTCAAGTTGTGTTACAAAGTGTGTTTCCGTACAAATCGGTAAAGTTAATCCTTTTATTAGTTGTGTTTGTTAGGAATTTTGATTAGACACGCGTAATATTATTTATCAAGCAGATTACTTAGATGTAAATCTTAAATGAAGTTGTCACTTTATAACAAAGACTGAATCTTCTGATCCATTCTCCTTTAGAAATAATCAAGTTTGAGTCATGTCCAATGCTTTAGAGATACATTTAGGACTTTAACGTAAGAAACCTAGTTTGTAAATAATATCACATGAATATTTCTATAACAAAAGAATTAACTTAATATGAAAAGAGTAATGTGTGTCACGAGCAAGTCTAGTTGAATATCTTTTGCGGATGGCATTGTGGATTGTCGGGTAAAAATAGAAAAAGGACAAGACACATGGAATCTTGCTTTTTCCGTCCACGCAATGGGGAAAAGGATAGTCCACGGCCCTGTCGTGTCACCTAACAATTGCACATTGCTACTATATAATATATATATATCTCTCTCTAATAATTTAAATTATTAACAAGGTTTTTAATTAAGATTACCAATTAATTAACATTGAATTAGCAGGGCACAAGTTGTGGGTTGGCCACCAGTTCGATCCTTCAGAAAGAACATAGTGAATGTTCAAAGGAACAGCAACGATGAAGCAAAGAAGACTAGCACTGTCACTGTCGCCGCCACCACCAGCAACGGCGCCAACAGTGGAGGAGCATTCGTGAAGGTGAGCATGGATGGTGCACCATATCTACGCAAGGTGGACCTGAAGTTGTACAAAAGCTATAAAGAGCTGTCAGATGCGCTGGCTAAAATGTTCAGCTCATTCACCGTTGGCAAATGTGGGTCCCAAGGCATGAAGGACTTTATGAATGAGAGCAAATTGATAGACCTTTTGAATGGCTCTGATTATGTACCCACATATGAAGACAAAGACGGAGACTGGATGCTCGTGGGTGACGTGCCTTGGGAGTGAGTACTCTTTCTTCATAATTCATTCATCGTTTCTTTTTCTCTTATTAAAATCCTATTTTTCAATGCTCACTAATTAACTCAACATTTCACAGAATGTTCGTTGAATCATGCAAGCGCCTACGCATAATGAAAGGTTCTGAGGCAATCGGGCTAGGTTAGTGATATAATAACAACCTCCTTCAACAAATTAAGTTTAAAACTATATGAAAGATATCTTATCCTAAAATATTATTAATTCCTAATTTACAGCGCCAAGGGCAGTGGAAAAGTGCAAGAACAGAAGCTGAAGTCATTTGCTTGTTCCGTAAACAATCTGCTTGGTTGTTCATCGATGTCACAAGGAAGCAATTGGCTCGAGCAAGGTCGAGTCTGATATAGGAATAAGAGTTTTATTATTATATTATTATTATTATTATTTTGATTTTTATGTATCTGTCCTATCTTCTTGTAATTTTCTTATATGTGTATTATATGAATGAGAAAATAGTTGGAAATTCATTAGGGACAAGAAATAATATAGGAGATGTAATTATATGAATATGACCCCCGTTTTTGTTTCCAAGGGAAAAAAAGTACGACTTTGTCCATTGCCTGTGTGCTTGACTAATGATAATATATGGCAATGTTTCCAGTTATCATAACTGGTTTTTGTCCCCTCCAATTTTTAAATTGTAAGTGACCACATGTATACCGTATATGCAATTATATGATTGTGTTTGGGTGTTGAATGCTATATAAGATTCCTTCGCATTATGTACGAAGTATTCTTGTCTGTCAAATTATGAGCGAACTTGTTGGTTGAGGAGTTGAATACCTTAAGATCCATGAACAAAGAGATAACGAGGGCCCAGGCCATGTGCTACCTGTTACGGATCGACTCTTATTGAGGGATCCGCTAATTTATTCCCCCATTCCCCACCCCTCTCTCTCCCTTGGTGGCAGTAGTGTTCTTGCTTTCTTTTTTGTGGCTTACTTCCTCGCCTATTTATCCCAACTTCTCTCTCTCTCTCTTTTAAGAAAATATTTCTATCAAAAGAATGACTGTTTCCTCGTAAGATCACATAGACGATTATCATGAAAGCAAATATATTTACCCTAAGGGGGCGTTTAATATACAACTTAGACAAATAAAGGTTGATTTACCGATTAAGTGGTTTAATTTGGAACTCAAAGAAGATGAAAACAGTATAGGTAGGTTGGCCTCAGAAACGTGCTCATGCTGAAACCTAGGGATTTGCGCGTTTGGCAATGCATTCTAGTCTGATATTCTATTTATAATCTAACAACTTGATAAACGATGGGAATATTCTCCCCTTTTTTGGGGGTAAATAATTCTCCTGCTCGCAAAAAATAAAATAAAATACTCTCACTCGATTTTGGTATGTAAATACTCAGACTGTGATCGCGGAACATGAGCAAGTGGGGTCTGGGATAAGAAGAGATGCTTCATTCGATCCTTCAAAGATTCCTTCACAAAATTTCCGTCGGTACTATTCTTTATAGTTCATTTTGTTCTATTGGTCTACATTTTAATACAAATACTTTTTTTTGGGAGCAATTATACTTATCAATATTTTAGACTTATCACTCTTATAATTTATTTGATTATCGTTAGATTAATTTGAAATCAACCGTAATTTTTTTTTCAACCGTTGATTTCAAATTAATCAAACAATAATAGAAAAAAGATAATAAAAGTGATACAAGTAAGATAGTAATAAATATAATATTCCCCCATTGAATATAACTGCTGCAATTTTGGTCCTTCATTTGGTTGGGCTTGGTACATTGCTAACAATCAGAGGAAATGAATTTATGATAGTTAGGAGATTCTAAAATAAGGGAAACTTGTAATCCAGAATAATGAAATGGCTCATCAATTTAATACATAAGATTTTGAAATGAGATATGTTACCGATTTCACTTATTATGATTTGAATTTTCAACTTAATTTTCATTGACGATACCTCTTCTTTTTTTTGATTCCCTATTCTATGATAATAAGTGGTATCAAAATCGATGTTTATACTTTATAGTTAGGGGTATAAATAGATTAGGTTAGGTTAGACTTTGACTTACATAGATTAAACTTATGTAAAAAATTGTCAGTCTGACTTATATAGGCCCAAATTACAAGTCTGGGCCTATATTAAATAAATAATTTAATACAAGACCCGACATGGACAAAAAAAGCCTACAATCTGCTTTCTAAATAATTTTTAAAAAAGTTTAATCTTGCGTTTTATTTGACTATTTATAATAGGTCAAATCTGACCTAATATAGAACTCGTAGTCCTGTAATCTAGGTTAACCCATTTACGGTAGTGATTTGTGTAGGATATGAACCATGTTATTTTGTGGAGCAACTTTATCAGTCTTTGTTGATCACCCACTTAATACTCGGAGAGGCTTTTGCAAAGAGAAAGTACACTATTGGGTCTAATTCTTAAGGGGGAGATTGATAAAAAAGTTAAGGATGAGTGATAAATAATTATGTTTCGCATTAATTTTTATGGATGATCCAAGTAAAAAACATAAAAGTGAAATAACCTATAAGATGTGATATCCAATTTTATTGTCTGTCATATAAGTTCTTTACTTAACCCATTCCTAATAACCTCTGTGTTTGGGCTCCCTTGAGAGAAAGCTAAATTCTTTCGGTTATATCTGAATAGTACTTGGCTGGAACGAAATGTCGGCTGAATGAAACGAAGATATAGTTATTTTCTTTTCTATTTTTAGGAAAAGGTACAGACCAACATGTGCATTTATTTTACAATAATTTGTCTAAGATTCTCATTTTAATCCCCCCTCCCCTCTTCTTACATCTCTTCCCCTCAATGAGGAGGCTTGATTTTCCCCTAAATACAGCAACAAATAATAATTTTTTTTTCCGGAAGGAAATAATGTTATTTTTTTTACACATATTTTCGCGCATATCACATAACATTTACACAATTTTTTTAAAACGTACAGTCGATTGCACATTTGCACTTCTCTTTTTATATTACTGTACTGTAATTGTATTAGATGTGAGAGATGTGCGGTACGACGGTGCAATTATCATTTTTCAAACATCATAAAAGTATAAGTTTGGCAGTGACTGTCTTACAAACGAAATCGTTTAATGGTACGAAAACCTTCGATTTGATAAGCTCCTTGGGTTTCAAAAATTTCTAGGCAATGGGCCTGTGTCTTCCCCACGCAATCAGTATTCTTAATGTTTGTTAATTAGATCCAACAAGGCTTGGGCATCTGGGACTGGGACATGGATAAAGTCATCAAAAGTGCTAAAGCCTATGGACCAGTCCATGTAACTGGTACACTAAAAAAAGAAGAAGTTAAAAACCATTTTTTTTAGATTAATGAATAATGACCTTGTTTTAGATTAATGAATAAAAACCGTTTTTTACGCGAGAATCTCGATTTTCAAAAATATAATTTTTACAGTTTACGATAATATCCAAAAATTTAAAATTTAGAAAAATTTAATTTCCCAGAAATTTGAAAAAATATTTCATACCAAACAGCTCCTTAAGTAGACTTGTTTGTCAGATTAGCCTCTACTAGAATAAAGAGTATATTTTAAAAGATAAAATAAAAAAAGATTTTTAAAATTTTATTATAAAATCAACATTTGGGTAACATTAATACACAAATCAAGCCGCAGCGACTATAATATTTTAACTGAAGAAAAGGAAATTGAAACAAAATTTAATAGTATATATGCAAAAATGGTTCGTATTAATTATCTTATTTAATAAGTCTTGCTGCTTGTTGACAAAATCAATTATTAAATAATCTATCTAATTTTAGTCGCCCGGCCCAGCCCCATGTGCTACTTTGTGCCCGACTAACTTCGCTCTCTCTTATTGGATGTGTTGTTTTTTTACCTCCACACAACTTTTTTCAAACAAGCACAACACACACAATTTCTCTAGAATAAATATTTAGCGCATCTATTGCACTTAGATTCAGTGCAACTCATCAATAATAGCATTATATATCAAAAGAGAGAGAAAGAAAGAATTTGAGAAAAAATAAATAAATTTGACTGACATGTAATATTTCCATTGATGTAATGTACTAAATCTTTGATGCAACAGTAACACCAAAGATTTATTCATTCCTCTGTACACGTACTCTCTACTTTCTCGTGTCTTATCTAAGTGAGATGTTAACGTGTGTTAGTAGAGGTGGTAAAATGCCCCGCCCCACCCCACCCCTCCATCAACCAGCTAAAAAATGAGTCAGCTCACCCTGTTCCGCTTTTGAAAGTGGGCTGAAAAACTCAGCCCGTCCCGCCCCGTACCGTTTGACGGGTTGGACGAGTTGGCCCGCCAGCTCGAACTTATTTTACACTGTCTATGCTCGCCAAAAAATGAGTCCGCCCCGCTTTTGAAATGGGTTGAAAAACTCAGCATATCTCATCCTGTTTGGCAGGTTGGGCGGGTTGGTCTGCCGAGCTGAGCCCATTTTGTCGGCTCTATGTGTTAGTGTCTTGCATATATACCATATCTCCGTGCTACCAGTTCAGCAAATATCACTATTTAGAGAACCGAACCTTTAGCCGCCGGTCCGGTCCTATTCATAACTTTGTTCGCATCTTCCGTTGTTCTTGCTATTAATGTTCTTAGCACTACATCTTACCGGTGGAGCCAAAGCGATTTTTATATGGGTTCAATTTTTTTTTTGCAGATAAATAATTTACAACGTCGTTTTGGGATGAAAATTATGGTATTTTTGTAATTTTAATTTATTTCAGGGTTATAATAGTTTTTATATTTATATTTTTTAAGATTCCAATACCAAAATGATGTCGTTTTAGAAATAAATGCAGATAACTTATCTACAGCAGAAATATTTTTTCCTTTTTATATTTACCTATATAGTGTTTAAGCAGTTATGCTTAACATTACTACTCTTCTTGTTACAAGAATTATTTATTATAACCTATTAGGATTGATTTAGTGGCAAGAGGTTTGAGTAAGTTATATTAGAATTCTCACTAATATAAAAGAAAATTATTTACTATATTTTTCTTCAAATTTTTTTAAAAGGTAATATTATTTGAATCAATTTAAGAAAGATAAATAAAAGATATAGAAAAAGTAAACTTGTAAAAATTAAATTAGAACATAATAAAGGTAGTTTTATTTGCTTACAAAAAAAAAAGGTAGTTTTATTTTTTATTTAATCTCAAAAATATTTGATATCTACTTAATATCCATATATAAGACAACAATAATTGAATTAGAATTTAAAAATTGGATAAAAGCATACTTAAACATGATAAAATTGATTTTGTTTTCTAGTCAATCTCAAATAGATTTAATACCTATCAAATTATTAATATATAATAAATAAGATAAGAAAAATAAATTAGGATTTGAAAATTGGATACAAAGTAAATTTAAACATGATAAAATTTATTTTATTCTCTAATCAATCCCATGAATATTTAAAATTTATCTAAATATCAATATGTAATAATAAAAATATTTTATTTTGTAGCCAATGAAATTTATTTGAGTATTTTTATGAAAAAATGTTTTTTCTTTTGTTTCAGAATTTTTTTTTGCTAAATTCATATAAAAGTGACTTTGTTCAATTATAAAAAGAAGAGAGAGAAAATATTAGTGAAACTCACTCACTTTTATGTGAGGGTGCAGAAAAAAAAAATTATA